AACTCATGTAAGATTGTCAGTGTTTTTGCGAAAAAGCGCCCTGCCAATCTAGACGCACTTTTCTGAAAATGCTTTTAACGGAAAACTTTTCCATTAAAAGCATTTCCGGAAAATCATGCCAGTCTAGACACAGCGTAGGTGAAGAAATCCTGAGGCTACTGTGTGTGAATAAGAAACACCATTTGTAGGCGGAACTACGCCCTTGGGCTAAGCCATGGGATTAGCCACCGTGTACTAAAAACAGTTACTCTGGTTCTTATAGCTCCTTCTCTATGGCTGTTTCACACAATGATCCTTTCCCAATGTAAATGGTTCTTTCTGTATGTTGATTATCACCTACTGCTTTGAACATTCATACGGGAGGGGAAAAGGAGGAGGACTACATACACAGAACGTTCGCATGGAATCAGGATCATTAGCTCTCAGGAATCTTTTCCTGTAGATTAGGCTCCGGTGGAAGCCACAAGTTGCTATGAGGGAGTATGTCATCACAACCAAAAGCGTTTGATGTCAAATGCACTAATCCCAGTAGCGGATAGCTAACATGGAGGCACTCAAGCTAACATGCAGACAGTCTAGAAGAAGATTAAGTTAGCACTGCTACTGCTTTCACTGCATGCCTTTGTGTGGAACGATGGATATCGGGGCCTGCATCTCTCACTCGGGTACCTTTCACAAAGAGTGTGTTAAAATAAACACTAGTTTTTAGGGCTGTCAAGCGATTAAAACATTAATCGTGATTAATCACTGTGACGGACCGGGCCGTGTCTGTGCACAGCTGAGGGCGTCCGCTCAGGGCGATTGCTCAAATTCAGGGCTACTTACAGCCCCCAGACTGGAGACCTTTCCAAACAGGCCGCAAACCAGTCACACAGAGCGCTTCAGCTGCCTCTGCCTGAAGCCTCACAAGCAAAACCCGTCCGACACCTCAGCAATACAGATCACAGCTGGAGAATTCTCTGCATCTTGGGGTCTTCAAAGTATTTGAAGGCTTCAATATCTGAGATATAGGTGAGAGGATTATTATAGAAAGGGGTGGGGGGGATTTTGTGGCCTGCACTGTGCAGGGGGTCAGACTAGATGATCATAATGGTCCCTTCTGACCTTAAAGTCTATGAGTCTATGAATATCCATGCCCCAGATGGCCCCGGGCCTCATACACAGGTGAGGGGCCTTAGAACCGAATCTCACCCACCCCGAACAAATTCTGTCCAGTTCCAAGAAACCAGCCACAGTTCCCAGGTCAATTTACCCTCTGGATCTTACCCACAAATCACGCTGAGCCAATCCTTTAGCATCTGCAATCTTTGGCTGTGTCTAGACTGGCAAGTTTTTCCGCAAAATCATCTGCTTTTGAGGAAAAACTTGCCAGCTGTCTACACTGGCCGCTTGAATTTCCACAAAAGCACCGACGAACTCATGTAAGATTGTCAGTGCTTTTGCGGAAAAGCGTCCTGCCAATCTAGACGCACTTTTCTGAAAATGCTTTTAACGGAAAACTTTTCCATTAAAAGCATTTCCGGAAAATCATGCCAGTGTAGACGTAGCCTAAAGGTTTATTACCACAAGAAAGAAAAGCATGAGAGTAAGGTTGCTAAAGTATCATACATTACATGCATCAAATCTCCCAGTTCTCGATGCAGGCTTGCAGCAAAGATGTTATAACTGCTGGCTTAAAAGTCCTTGGTGTGCATCCTATGTCAGGATGGGTCCATAGTTCTTCCCGGCTCCTGGTTCCCTGAGAGGCCGCATCTGGGGTCAGGAGCAGATCTGAGTACCAACATGGAGTCTGCCACATGGCATATTTATACCCTTCTTCCAGGTTTCTTCCAAGCTGGAGGGAGTCACATGGCCAGTGACCAGGTGTGTCTCTGGCCTTCAGAGGCCCATTGTTCCCTGGAACTTCGCTCATTAGCATGTCCATAGGCAAACATTCCTAGCCCATTATTCAAGCACATTCAGAGAGATTTCCAGTCTCCATACAGAGTACAGATCCCTAACTCCACACACAGACATTATACAGATATATGAAGAGCAGATACAGAATCAGAAGAAAGTAAGCTTTTGTTTGACCCCTCACATGGCCCCCTTTGTACTGACTTTTGGGGCAAACACCCCCCATGGGAGCAGCAGTGACCGGGCTGCTCCCCTCACAATCCAATAACGTGACAATCACGCGATTAATTACATGCGCTGCCCCTTTGAAATGCTGCGGCAGCATTTCAAAGGGGCAGCGCTGTGGAAGCCTGGGATCAGCTGGAGTCCTCAGCTGACCTCAACTCCGTGCCTCGCTGCCCCTTGGAAACGGCAGCACTGTGGGAGCTCGGGGTCACCTGGGGACTCCAGCTGATCCCAAGCTCCTAATGCGCTGTCCCTTTGAAGCACCAGAGCGGCACTTCAAAGGGGCAGTGCAGCATTAAGGCCTGCGATTAACACATTAAAAAATTAACGTCCTGCGTTAATCACAGGCGTTAACACACATCAGTTCATAGCTCTACTAGTTTTCGAATTAGTTCTCCAGTAGTAACATTGAGGGCTCATCTCTCCTTTCCCCTCTGACTGTGATGTACCAGCAGACTGTTCCTCACAAGACTGCAGCAAACTTTTAGACACTGCTCACAGTTTGACTCTTTACATTGCTGAAATTGTTAACAGCCCCCACATGCAATACAAGAATTCCCGTCTCTCGGGGCAAATAACCTTCTCAGACAGCGGAAGGTGCTGTTCTCCAACAGGAAAGAGCATCTCAACCCCTGTAAAACTGAACCTGTCTTTGACTGATGGAGTGACATGATTCCTACCAATATAACATTAACTAGCTTCCAGGGAACATTACAGCGTAACACCTTTAGTCCAAACAAATGCTCTTTATTACACACGATACATGAATATGCTTTCTATCTCATGAGTCATCTCCTTTACATGTGAATACTTTTGGGCTGTGTCTAGACTGGCCACTTTTTCCGGCACTGTCTACACTGGCCGCTTGAATTTCCACAAAAGCACTAACGATCTCATGTAAGATTGTCAGTGCTTTTGCGGAAATACTATGCTGCTCCCATTCGGGCAAAAGTCTTTTTCCGAAAAACTTTTGCGCAAAAGGGCCAGTGTAGACAGCAGAGATTTGTTTTCCGCAAAAAAGCTCCAATCGTGAAAATGTTGATCGCGGCTTTTTTGCGGAAAAGCGCGTCTAGATTGGCCACGGACGCTTTTCCGCAAAAAGCGCTTTTGCAGAAAAGCGTCCTGCCAATCCAGACGCTCTTTTCCGAAAATGCTTTTAACGGAAAACTTTTCCGTTAAAAGCATTTCCAGAAAATCATGCCAGTGTAGACATAGCCTTGCTGTATATTGCAGGTGTGCAAACTTTACTCGCTACTTTTCATCACAAGATTGAAAAGTGCTTTCCAAATGTATGAATTGATAGTTTGTTGATTTGCATCCGAACTCCAAAGATGCTGAGAACCTGCAGCTCCCATGCACCTCAGTGAGAGTTGCGGATGCTCACTGTCCCTGAACACCCAGGCCCAAGTCCAAAGCCATCAACTCCGACGAGAAGTCTTGGGATGCTGTTGAGGGAATGAGAAAAGTAGGATTCGGAGCCCAGCGAAAAGGTTCCATCCTCTGGGCAGCACAGTGAGGGGCCCTGCGATGCCGTGCCTTGCTCCAGCATGCAGGGGAGTTTTGGGGTGAGAACGGACCAACAGAGTCGTGAGAAAACAGAGGGATGGTCTAGTCTCCCCTTGGAAAGCAACTGCAGTAGCCACGGGGCCTACCTGCTACCGAGACTGTAGTTTTAGTTGTCCAGGTGTTGTGTTGTCACCTTGTTGCATGGAGAAAGATCTCTTCATACTGACCCACGCCAGTCAGAGGGGTTACTCAGGCGGTTTGCTGGGGACAGGATTTGCCTCTTACTGCACCTGTCATTAACTTGAACAGAAATATGGAAATTAGATGCTGGGAAATGAAAAGGAAACGTACCCACAGCAAGTTCCTTACACAGTCACCAAATTGCACAGTCTAGGGAAATACCTCACTTGTGAACAAAGAACCTCATCTACAAACATGTGTAGCCATAGGCAGGTTCCTCCTTGAACACTTGAAAAAGAAACCTGGGAAAACAATTAAACAAGAGATGGAGAAGTATTAATATACCTCCGCAGACACAAGTTCACAATTTCGGAATCTACATGTGTTTCCCGTCAAACATTATTCCATAAATAAGCTCAACACTGGGTCAGGTGCAGAGACCCATCTCTGGATCTAGAAATCTAGATAAGTCTCTGAATACCCTGCCAAGGTGAAAAGATCGGAGACAGATCTCCTCCTGCCTGCGAGCAATCAGGAGCTAAAGGGCTGACATCCACAAGCCCTCGGAAAGCGGTTCACTGAGTTAGTTGCTCCTGAGGTTTCACAGTGTAATTCACAGGGAACAGTCTGCTTTGAAAAAACAGTCGGCAACATCAGAATGGATTTTTTAAAATATCGAAGGAGTTTTGATGTTCTATTTAAAACTCCGGGACTTTGTTCCAAACTGTTAATGAATGCTTGGAAGAAACAGCTCCCCATACAGTGCTATGTTGCTGGCCTGGTGGGACAAGCCTGCCTCATTTCCGTCCAGGTCCACGCCCCAGCTGCAGCCTACAGAGGGCGGGGCTACATCACGGACGCTCCCTGCAATGTAGAGATGCCAACACTATTTAAAAAATAAGGGACTTTTCTTGGCACCCACACTTGACATTAATTATAGTCATTACTGTTAATGCAGGGCAGTGCTCATCGGCCCACAGACGATTCTCAGTCCTCTTCCCAGCCAGTGGGCAGGAACAATTTCTGGAATGAGGGATGCTGAACTGCACCTCCCTGACCTCGCAAAAAACAAGACAGGTCAACAAACAAACCAACGGAACACCACTCTCCATTACCTACAGCCCCCAGCTTAAACCCACCAGCGCATCACTGACAATCGACATCCGATCCTGGAAACCATCCCTCACTCTCATAGGCCTGGGGGCCAGGCCAACCCTCGCCTAGACAGACCCTTCACTCGAAACCATTTGTCTCCCAGCAACCACGCAGCACACCTGTAACATACTCACCCAGGAACCCACCCCTGCAATAAACCCTGGTGCCAACTCTGCCCACACTTTGACACAAGCAACATCATCACAGGACTTAATCACGTAAGCCTCCACATCAGAGGCTCATACAACTGCACGTCCACCAATGTGATCTATGCCATCAAGTGCCAGCAATGCCCCTCGGCCATGGACATTGGCCAAACTGGACAGTCTCTACAACAAAGAATTAATGGACACAAACCAGATATTCGAAGTGGTAACACACAGAAACCTGTTGGAGAACATTTTAACTTGCTAGGGCACACATGAATGGATTTAAAAGTAGCCATTCTGTTAAAAACAATTTCAGAAATCAACGAGGGTACGTCTGCATAGCAGGGCTAAAGTCAAATTAAGCTACGCATTTTTCGCTATGTCAATTGCGTAGCTGAAGTTAAAAGAGCTTAATTCAGCTTTTGGCGCTGTCTACACAGCAGGAAGTCGAAGGAAAAACACTCTTCCTTCAACTTCCCTTACTCCTCGTGAAAGAAGGGTCACAGGAGTTGAAGAAAGGAGTTCTCCAGCTTGACATTATGTCAAAACAAAGGCTTGTAGTGTAGACATGCACTATGTTATTTCAGAATAACACCAGTTATTCCGAAATAATGCTGCTGTGTAGCCGTTCCCCTACAGAGAGAATCTGTGGAACTAGCGTTCATATGCAAATTTGATACGATCTTGAACAGTTTGAACAAGGACATGAACTGGATGGGCCATTATATTCAACAACCAAATGACATCCAAGGCTAAGTATCATGCACTTACAGCCTACTGTATTAGCTTTATATAGCACAGACACCTCAATGGACAGGTCTTCCTTTCACCTCTTCCCTCTTTTCCTGCGTTATATTTCAAAATCTGGGCCCCTTACTCCATATCTGTCATTTGAAGAAGTGGGTTGTGCCCACGAAAGCTCATGATATTACATATATTTTTTTATTAGTCTCTAATGTGCTACTGGATCATTGTTGTTGTTGAAGTTTTTTAGTTAGATTAACATGGGCTACTCTGACTCTTAACTCTGCTCATGAGAGCCCCATGAGGACCCAACAGACCCAACAGGTGGGGCCTAGTGGCAGGGCCAGCAGCCAAGCACTGGGGCCGGCAGCCAAGTGGTACCCAGGGTCAGCTACTAAGTCCCTGTGCACATGACTGGCAGCCAAGTAAGACCAGAGGCTGGAAGCAAAGCCCCCTAGCATCAGCAAGCCCAGCAGCTGGGACCCTGAGCAGCGGGGGTGCAGGGCTGGCAGCTGGGAACCTGAGAAGCAGAGGCATGTGGCCAGGTCACCCAAACCTGGGGATGGTACAGCACTTCCAGCACCCTGCTTCGGTGCTTATGTCCCCAGCACTCTGCAACGCCAGATTTTGTTGCATAGTGATGCAGAAATAGGCGAGGTCCCTGATGCAGAGTCTAAGGACAGCACCAGAGAAGTTCAATCTTGCGCCTACCTCACATGCCCCATGACCCGCCAGGAAGGGTGATCTGAGCCTGCACTATGAAGCACGGAGCCCCGGTACTGCCGCTTGCACTGCTGTGTGCCCGGGGTCTCTGTCCAGCTTAGACCGTGTACCCACAGGTGCTGGAAGGGGAGCTCTTGCTCAAAGTGCTTTCCATCACATAGAGGGTTTCCTGCTGGGTTCACTGGCTCTCAGCATCTCCCTGCACTAACTGTTCCAGCTCCCGTATCAGCGGCGGCAGAGGTGCTAGAGTAGTGCTGGGCGAGGCCACTTTAAGAGCAAGCCAGGACTGGTACCCGACAGTGAGGACCCCGCCTTCTTCGTCAGCCTGCACGATGCCAGCAGCATGGAACAACCCTTTCTTTGCTCCACCCCATCACTAGCTTTGGCTGCACTTCCTACTTCTGGTGCCGGGGCTATAAGAGTCCCGTCCATCCCTGCAACCAGCCTGCCCGACTGCTTGGAACCTGCTGCCAGCTACTAACAATCTTGCCATGGCCAATCAAGGTAAGGGAGCTTGGAGCCGGACAGTAGCCAAGGGGACCGGCAGAATCCCTACTGAGAAGGGGGGAAGGGTACATGCAGAGGAGACTTAGGGGATGAGAGCCAGCATCTTGGGGGCACCACTCTAGCAGGTGCTTGCCCCAGCTGAAGGTAGAGCTTGGACAACCCATGTCTGGATCCGGGCTTCTCGTGTCCCCTTAGCACAGAAGTTCCCTGGGTATCTTGTTAGGCATCTCCATGGTTCGAGGAAGGACAACCCCTTGAGGCACTGACCCCCCCATGCTAGGGCTTCCCCGCTCGGCTTGTGTAATGTGATATCTGTTACTTTGCTCAGGAGGGCTCAGCCCGGAAAAGATCGCTGCATTCACCAAAAAATGGGAGGATGACCCGCAGTTCAGACTTGCCCAAAATGTTACAACCACCAACAGCTCGCTGGAGGTGTGTCTCAGTCGGAAAGTGGTGCAGGACACGGTGCACGTCTTCCAGCATGCGGTGCCTGCAGAAGGCAAACCGGTCACTGACCAGAAAAAGTCAGGTAAGGGAAATTCCCTGTATGTTCCAGGCTTCTTGACTGACCTTACCACAAAATCTTTACGCACCGTGGCAGCACAAATATAAGAGCCAAGTTACATTTACAACTGATGTCTTGTGCTATGTTTTAAGCTGCCTTTTCATTAGGAAATATCACCTGGAATATTCTTTCTGTTTCTGAGTTCATACTCTTATCATCCAGCTCCTTATGTCTGTGGAAACACTGACTGGTACACAAACCCCTTTGAGGCTGAAATTAGACAGGGATCTCAGAAACGGTGCTCTTCCAAAGACTGGAAGTAACTCTGGTCTGAGGTCTGAAATTGTAGGCTGTGCCAAAATAGCCTTGCTCTCCCACGGGACCTGTGGTAGTCTTTAGGTCCCCTGATTTAAGACAGGAGATAGTATTTAACACTAGGGATGTAATTGGCTAATCAAATAGTCGATGTTCCAGGGCTGTTGCTACACTTCAAAGGTGAAAGCGCTGTGGGGAGCACTGGGCCTGCAGGGGACCCCTACTGGCCCCGTGCACCCTGCAGAGTTTCAAAGTGGCAGTGCCACATGGAGCCCTGGATCAGCTGGGGACTCTAAGTTCTCAGCTGGCGCTGGGCTGCACGCAGCATCTGAAAGCAGCAGCGCTGTGTGGAGACTAGGATCTGGCCCCGGGCATGTAGTCTAGACGAACCCCAAGAAAGAAAGGCAGTCCATACCTCTTTCACTGTAATACGGCTTTTGTTTATCGGATAGTCAACTAGTCAACTAATTGTTCAAGTCCCTATTTAACATCTGAAGTTGAGAATAAAACTGATATATTTCTAAGCTGTCATTCAACCTACAATGGATTTGGCAGACAAAGGGTACATCTAGACTACATTCTCCTTTCGAAAGGAGATATGCAAATTTGGTGCTAATTTGCATATCTTCTGATCGCTTTTTTGAACGCGTTTTTTTCAAAAAAGAAAGCAGTTTAGATGCGGTTCTTTCAACCCCCTCCCTTTTTCGAAAGCACCCTGCACACCTCATTTTTTGAGGAAGAAGGGTTATTTTGAAAGAACCGTGTCTAAATTGCTTTCTTTTTTGGAAAAAAACAGTTTTCAAAAAAGCGATTGGAAGATATGCAAACTAACATCAAATTTTCATATCTCCTTTCAAAAGAAGAATGTAGTCTAGATGTACCAACAGAGAGGTTCTCCACTCTTGAGGGAATTCTGAGCCAACAGTATAAGTCAAAATCCGGGATGCTAAGTTCTTTCTCTTTGCTTGTTTGGCCTCTTGATCGTGCTGTGGGTATCTGTTAATTTGGGGGGTTTATCTCATATTGTAAAAGAATGAGACTGAACATCCCCATATAAATCTTGGCTGTGTCTAGACTGGCCAGTTTTTCCGGAAAATCAACCGCTTTTCCGGAAAAACTTGCCAGCTGTCTACACTGGCCGCTTGAATTTCCGCAAAAGCACTGACGATTTCATATAAGATTGTCAGTGTTCTTGCGGAAATACTATGCTGCTCCCGTTCGGGCAAAAGTCCTTTTGTGCAAAAGGGCCAGTGTCGACAGCTCAGATTTGTTTTCCGCAAAAAAGCACCAATCGCGAAAATGACGATCGGAACTTTTTTGTAGAAAAGCGCCTCTAGATTGGCACGGACACTTTTCCGCAAAAGTGCTTTTGCGGAAAAGCATCCGTGCCAATCTAGACGCTCTGTTCCAAAAATGCTTTTAACGGAAAACTTTTCCGTTAATAGCATTTCCGGAAAATCATGCCAGTCTAGACATAGCCCTTGTATTTTAATACAGCCTGTGCAAATCTTCATAGAGCTCGGCAGTGTAACTCTTGTTCCTTTAAAAACAATAAGTAGTCCTGTGGCACCTTAGGGTATGTCGACACTACAAAGTTAATTCGAACTAACAGACGTTAGTTCAAATTAACTTTGATAGGCGCTACACATAGAAACCACTAGTTTGAACTTAATTTGAACTAGCGGAGCGCTTAATTCGAACTAGGTAAACCTCATACTACGAGGACTAAGCCTAGTTCGAATTAAGTAGTTCGAATTAAGGGCTGTGTAGCCACTTAATTCGCACTAGTGGGAGGCTAGCCCTCCCCAGCTTTCCCTGGTGGCCACTCTGGGCACCACCAAGGAAACTCTTCTGCCCTCCTTCCGGCCCCGGAGCCCTTAAAGGGGCACGGTCTGGCTATGGTGCCTGTGCCAGGCACAAGCCTGCCAGCACCCAGCCAGTAGACCCTGCACCTGGCACGGCACGAGCCAGCCACCCGCTGCCACCCAGCCCTCCGCCTCTTCCCGGGACCTCATCCACGACCTCCACACTAGACACAGGAAAGCGGCCGTCTAGGGCAGGAGAGCTGCCAGCCTGGCCACCCAGGAGCAGGTTTACATGAAAATCAGGGTGGTCCAGTGAGACCCCTGACCCTGAGCCCTGAGCTTAGAACATAAGAATGGCCGTACTGGGTATCAGCTTGACATAATGCTATCCTTATGAGCCTGTCAGCATTTCTACTGAGAGCCCATTTGCTTCAGTGGAAATTTGGTATGTAAACTTTGAGCAGGGATGTCATTTTGTTTTCTTTTTCAATTGTTCACCCACTGAATTGAATTCAGTTAGGGCACTTAAAGATACAGATGGGTTCAATTCCTACTCTGATCTCATACTCCCTAAGCTGAGAGAAGTAGGAAAAAACCCACTAAGCGCTGGAGAAAAATCACTTGTTGTGCATCTTATTTAGTAATCTTTTAAAAGAAACAAACAAACAAAAAGTAAGACATGATGTAGTGCAGTTATTAACAAAGTTGCACAATATCAGTTTATCAAAATAAACATATACAAATTAGCCTGTCAGGACCTAGAATAAATAATGTTCATCTTCTGCAGTTTTGCAAGTTTTGATCAGGCTAGTATTAAAATGATAATCCCAGCTGCCCCTCCCCCAATGCCATTACAGGCTCATGTGTCAGTTTGGATTTTTTTGCTTTTGCTTGAAGCTGCTTTTGCTTTTGTGGGTTTAGATTCGTGACTTTGCTGGAACATTGTGTAAGCTCTTTACTCACCCTGCTCAGAATAGAACATACGCATACTCTGTGTAGTTCAGATTTACACCAGTCATGGGATCTGGCTTTGCCAACAGCCCCCACACAAGACTCAGCCTAACCTTTCTCCCCAAGTTTGGCTAGTCCTGAGATTTTCCCTGCAGGGCCTTCCTTTTTCCAGATCTATTTTTTTCTGCTTCAGAGAAATATACTCCACTCCTTACAGACTGGGGAGAGATAAAAACTATAACTGCTAGTAGGATTCAACACAAATTACACAGTACCTTCATGCTGACTTCAAGCTGCTGATAAAAGGATCATTTAACAGATGGTGCAGGCTTTTAGAGTCTGTCACCTATCACACACAGGTTAAAATACAGCAGTCAAATCCATCTGGTGGTTGGAATAGGCACTGCATGCGATCTGCCAATGGTCTATACCAGGGGTGTCCAAACTTTTTTCAAAGAGGGCCAGATTTGATGAAGTGAACATGCGTGAGGGCCGACCATTTTGCCTGACATTCTTTGAACCATTAAAATTAAATGCAAATTAACTATTTTATGCAAAGTTTATTGCAAACGGCATACTTTTCATTTCGTCACATGGATGACAAATCTAAACAGGTGTTAAATCACTCTGCCTTTCATATCTGAAGGCCAGATGAAAAAAAAATCCAGGAAGCTGAAATATATGTCAGGAACATTGTAAAGTACATTACATATTATTGGTAATAAAGGTTGTCTGTCAACTTTTAAGTTCAAAAAATATGAACAGGAACATAACACCAAGTATACATGTTGTGTCCAAATATATTTATAACTGATTTAGACCAACTGACATTAACTGAGATTTTACAATGTATTCATCTCAATACATATGGATTCGTTGGGGGCCATAAAAGATAGATATTGCCAAATTACCTGTGGGGCCGTATTAAACCGGAACACGGGCCGCAATTGGCCCGCGGGCCGGACTTTGGACATGACTGCTTTAAGCACAGCCCTCGGCTAGCCTGAGGCAGCAGCGCCACGCTCTAAGTCCTCATCTGATGCCCTGCCAGCACTGCGTCCGTCCATCCTTAACCCCGGTTCAGGGTCCACTCTGTGTGGACATGCTAGTTCAAATTAGCAAAACGCTAATTCAAACTAGTTTTTTAGTCTGGATGCGTTAGTTCGAATTAGCTTAGTACAAAATGTACAGAATCATGTGCTTTCTTGGGTAAAACCCACTTCATCTGATCAACCAGTGTGGAAGTAAAAGAAATCAAGATTATAAGAATAACAGTAGAAGTACCTGTCAAGTATAGGAGGCGTGTTAATAAGGCTAAGATTAAGTGGGCTGATTGTGTCCCATACACAGCTTTTAATGTGAAAATGCAGATGTTAAAGAAGAGAAATTGGCTTTGTTAAGTGCCAACCAGTTAATGTCTTTGTTCAAGCCCAGGGTAATGATGTCACATCTGTAGATGAATTCCAGTTCTGCCGTCTCTCTCTCTGTAATTCCGTTGTAGAAGAATGGCTACTTTTATATCCATGATTGAGTGATCAGGCAGGTTAAAATGTTCCCCTACAGGTTTATGTGTGTTACGATTTCTGATGTCTGATTTGCATCCATTTATCTTTTGACTCAGAGTGTCCAGTTTGGCCAATATACATGGCAGAGAGGCATTGCTGGCACTTGATGGCATATAACACAGTAGAGAACTTGTTCCTTTGCTCTCTTACAGGGAGATGTTGGATCTTCTCCTGTCTGAATGTGATGCGTCTGCCTGTCATGAAGAACTTTAACATTGAAGAGTTTGAGTTCAGCCAAGCATATCTCTTCTTCTGGGATAAGGTACAGCAATGCTGGACTTAGATTTTTCTTAGAAGTTTTATCCATGCAGCCAGTATTGGCAGTCTGATTTCCCTCTATATGGGTGTTCAGGCTTTTCTAAGCTGCCACGGAGAAACACAGAAAACAATCTTTGGAAGTCCTTTACAAACACAATTTTCAGATAAAGAGGGAGCAAGTGTTTCTGGATTGAGAGAAAAATTGGTAGAGGGGATTTAAATAATTTGTTCAAAAGAGTAGCATTTTTTTGTTTTGAGACCTCTAATTCCTCTCACGGATCCTTGTAGAAGACTAGACAGGAACAACACGACCCGTTTTCCACTAAAGCCGTCTTAGTCTTGTGCCTGTGACACACTGCTGGAGCTAATTGACTTGTTTATTTCCAACAGTAGTTGCTTAAGAGCTGCTAGTACTAGTAACTGAGAAATGTTTCATCTTGCATCTTCTCTTTCTCCCATATACTAACTTGCTTTCACTTGCATACGCCCAGGAATGGAGTAACATATGGCATGCTACAAGCCAAGGTTAAGTTACCCTATCTGTCCTCTTCCAGGTTGAACGCTGCTACTATTTTTTAAACGTCTTTGTGGAAACGGCTCAGAAAAACAAGCCTACAGAAGAGAGGCTGATGCAGTTCCTGCTTTCCAACCCCACCAGTGATGGAGGACAATGGGACATGCTGGTTAATCTTATCAGTAAGAGAAACAGTGACTGAAAGGGCTTCCGGAAACAGTACTCTTGCCTGAAAGCTCAGAAGTGATGTAAATGTCTCCAGTTGTGTCCTACAGCCACCATAAACTGTACAGCGCTGCCATCTTCATGAGTTCAATGAGGAGGGGGGATGTAAAAAGTCGGTTAAAATGGTAACAACTTACATGTGCTGCTGGCTCTTACATAAACTTTATACTGCAGAGCCCACAGCAAAGCGTGTTTGGGAGCAGGGCTGCCAGCCCCTGCCGGTCCGGCTCCCGGGGAGGAGGCTTCCCTGCTGCAACGAAACCACCTTCCCGGGAGTGGGGCCGACAGGGATTGCCGGCTCTGCTCCTGGGGAAGCTTCACGGCAGGTTC